TGTTGCGTCGCGCTGTTGAATTATCGCAGCACAATGTTTTCTGGCATTGCAAATTGCTCTTACAACTCGCGCAAATACACGCTTCGGATAGGGAGTATTCGTTGGCCTCGGAACTCCTAGCTGTGGGTGTAGAATCAGCCGAAGAGACGGGCGCCACTTATCTCAAAGTGCTGTTTCTGTTATCACGCGCAATGATTCTTATGATCGAACGCAAAACAAACGATGTATTGGCTTTGTTAAACACAGCCGGCGCCATAATCGACAACAACATAACCAATGCTCATCAAAAGGAATACCTGAAAGTGTTTTTTCTTGTGCTACAGGTATGCTACTACCTTGCCTTGGGTCAGGTAAAAACCGTAAAACCTAGTTTGAAACAGCTGCAAACGTCCATTCAAACTATAATGGCGCCAAATTGGCCGTCAGATGAAGGTAAACTTTATGTTATGTTAATTTTCCAATTGAAATTCTTGTAACTTTTTGCTCTTAGCTATATTCGGACAAAACGCATTGGAAATGTTTGTGTGGTTGCCTAAAGAACAGCTTTATGTTTTGGTATACCTAGTAACCGTTTCGCACTCAATGATGGCTGGCTATATGGACAAGGCACAAAAGTACACCGAAAAAGCGCTTACACAAATCGAAAAATTAAAAGCGCAAGACGATAAGTCCATATTGTCGGTGTTTAAGGTGATATTACTGGAGCACATTGTCATGTGCCGCATGGTAATGGGCAATCGTATACTAGCCATTACCGAAATCGCCGCTGCGCGGGATGTTTGCCTTGCAACACCCAATCGTGGTCTACTCCGGCGTCATTCCGCGCAATTACATTGCTTACTCGGCTTATACTCAATGTCGACTAGCTTCTATGAGCATGCAGAGCGGCAATTCATAGCTTGTGTTATGGAAACCTCTGAGCGCGACCTAAAATTGTTCGCAAATTTAAATCTGGCAATTATCTTTCTACGTACAAAGCGAGAACAGGATCTAAAACAAATATTGGATACTGTATCCACCGAAAATACGCACACACATAGCAGTCAAGCGCTAATGGGTGGTTTCTACTACGTACAAGGACTCCACGCCTTTCACAAAAGCAGCTTTCATGAGGCCAAGTGAGTTCATTTTCTAGAAATTTTTGCGATCTTATAAAAGAAAAATAGAAAACAATACGAGAGTCCACGATGCTAAATCAGGATTTAGCCGAGCGTTGTGGGACCTACTGGATTAATATATGACAATATAATTGTTTATTTATTTCTTTCAGACGATTTCTGCGTGAAACATTAAAAATGGCAAATGCTGAGGATCTAAACCGGCTAACCTCTTGCTCTTTGGTTTTACTGTCACACGTCTTCCTCAGCATTGGAAACTCAAAGGAGAGCATGAATATGGTGACACCGGCCATGCAATTGGCTTCAAAAATACCAGATATTCATGTCCAATTATGGGGTTCTGCCATACTCAAAGATCTGCATCGCATGTCTAAAGATGTGTTGCACGAGAAGGAAGCATTTGCTAATCATGTGAAATACTCTGAAAATCTGATTGCCGATCAGAGAAAATGCGTTCAGAGTGTGCATCATTCATTGATAAATTGGTTTAGTGCTGAGCCCCCCACAACCAGCGGGAACAGCGCCGATGACGGAGGTGGTGGTTGCAGTATTAGTGGACAAATGCCACTAGTGCGACACATTATGTAAAATATCTGAAATTTGCATCACCTCACAACGCGCATATGAACTCAAAAGCATACAATAATGGAAAAAATGTGGGAAGCAAATTAAACCCACTGTTGCCATACTGATTGAAAATTAGAAGCAGTAAAAACCGGCACTTTCAAATAAAATTCTTAATTACATACATATTTTTATTAACGTAAACTAGTTGTATTAAATTTTAAGTCCAGACATAGCAGCCTGTTCTATTATGTTTAGTTTTAATTTTCTGCGCTGTTTACCCTTGATTCGCGCATTGATTGCTATGGTTTTTCAATCGCTAACTGCATTAGTTTTTCCTCGCCAACACTTTCTAAGTCAGCTTCTTCATTGCTTCGTAACGCATCGCTAGCTACAAGACGTTCCATATCTTCACGTGCCACCGTTAGTACTGTGGTCGTTTCATCATCATCTGCCTCCTCATCTTCGTCCACATCCAAAATAGTAATACTAAAATCGGCTATGTCCGCACTTCCCCGATTACGTTTAATAGCACCGTTTTTCGCTTGAGTAGATTGACGCTTACCTCTACTCACAGCCTTTGTAGTGCCATCAGCATCATCCCCAACGTGTGTTTTCATATGTGTACGCAATGTACCCAGATGGGTAAATTTATCGCCACAAAAGCAGACATGATTTCGTTCACCTGTATGAGTACGATGATGTATAATGCAGTCTTGCTTCTGGGTAAATGTTTTATTACAGAAGCGGCATTTGTACGGTTTTTCGCCTGTATGTATGCGTCGATGATTTTTCAGTGTAAATGAGGTTGTAAAACGCTTTGGGCAAAGATCGCACGCATACGGTCGTTCGCCGGTATGTATGCGCTTGTGTTTCACCAATGAACTGGATATGGTAAATGTTGCTTGACATTCATCACAACGGAATGGATGTTCGCCGGTGTGCGTACGCTTATGGGAGCATAATTCGGCTTTGGTGACGAAACTCATTGAACATTCGCCACATTTGAAATTCTTCTCTTTTGAATGACGCATTATATGCTGCCTTAAATTTGTTTTTTGACTGAAACCTTTGCTGCATATTTCACATACAAACGGCTTTTCGCCGCTGTGGACACGTAAGTGATCCTTGAGTGCAGATAGTATGGTGAAAACTAGGGAAATAGACTTTGAATGTAAGCTTTAATTTGTGTCTACTTCTCTTACCTTTCTTGCAATGAGGACACTGATTGCGTAAACTACGATTATGCACAGCTACCATATGCTTACTGAGTTCGTCATTTGTGCTAAAAGACTTGTTACATTCAGTGCATTCCTGTTCTTGCCAATGTGTGGATTTGTGTTCTTTTAAGGTTTCTTCAGATATGAAAACACGTTCGCATATATTACAGTTGTACGTAACTTTATTGCAAAGATCTTGTTTCCTATGATAGATAAGCGATCTTCGCAACGCAAATCCTGCATTACAAGTTTCACAGAAGTGTACTAATTTTGCTGGTTTTGTTTCTTGAATAATCGGTTGCGGTGTAATAGAGGAAGTCACATTGGCTGAAGCAGGCTTTGTTGAGCTTGTACCTTCATTGTCGTCGCTATTTTCTAAATTCTTACTTAAAGCTGCACTCTGTGAAGATAATGGACTAGTTATCATAGCAAAAGGTAAAATTAGGGCGGTATTGTCACTTGCGAAGCGAATGAATTTGGCGAAGCGAATGGATTGGAGGACGCAACTTAAATATGCATTAAGAGTGTTCGCTTTTACCAGCTGGTGCAAGTTCTTCGCATCGCGCACACTTTTAATACCTTCTCTGCCTTTTAATTCGCTTCGCCAAATTCATTCGCTTCGCAAGTGACAATACCGCCCTTAAAAATTTAATTTAACTAAATTGTTTAATACCATACAATGCATTCGAGCAAATTTCTTTGGACATACCTTTGCTGTTGTTTTTGTTGTACCCGATTCCTTGTTTTTGCTAACTTCACTCCCGTCTTTTGGTGTATCTTCGTTGCCATGTCGCTTTAATTTATGCCGTACTAAACGTTTCGCACTTACAAAAGTCATCGAACAATGATTACATGACAGCTCTTCTTTAATTTGTTTTTTATTTACTTCCGTCGTTGATCCTGAGCGCTTTGTTAAAATATCTTCTTCACCACTCTCATTTTTAAAAACCATGAAACTATAATTCCCTTCTGGTTTTTCACCATCTGCTGCATTGTACACATCTTCATCTGTATACACAAACTGTCCATAAACTTCCTCTTCCTCATGATCATCATTGTCCTGTTTCCCAGGATTTGCTACGCTCGTGTTGCTAACGCTATTTGCGACAGCTCTTTCGCTTTCATTTCCTGATTGAGAATTGGAAAACTGATAATATGTGGTGGTGTTTTCGTTTCTTTCATTTACGTCTTCATGTATTGTGGAATACAATGCAATCGCCTCAGTGTCTTCATCTATTTCGGGGTCTTCTGTAAGTAATTCCATAATGATTTCTGTACCTTCTAATTCTGTTTCCTGATCTACTCGTCTCCGTTTAAGCGATAGCGCTTGCCGAAGATTATTTATACGCTGAATTCTACAACTTTGTACAACTTCTATTTCTTGGCCAATTTCTACGCCCGAAGCCTTTTCTGAATTAAACCTATTGAGACTGTTTGTTTCACATTGCTCCATTAATATTGGTGATGTTGATCTGTCATAAGTTACATTACGCATTGGCGCTGTTTGTACATAGCGGTCAGTACGTTTTATCTCGAGTTTGGTTTGAGTACATATTGTAGCTAAACACTTCTTAACTTCCGATTTTGTTTGTACACCTTTATGAGCCTGCTCTACTTTTGATGTTACCTCGTTGGGTTCGTCAGGATAGGCATCAGGTACAAGCTGACGTAGTGTTCTGCACGAATTCTCACATTTTAACTTGAATGAGTAGCAACGATTAATCTCGCTAATGCATGATAAGCAAACCCTTTCCGGAAGCTTATCTTCACGCCTTGGCTATGCAGATATACAATAAGGATATTAGAGGAAGTATGTTTGTTAATTTATAAATCAAAATTTACCTTGCTCTTTGTAAAATCTCGCAACATGTCGGCAATGCATCCTCCCTCACCGCCCCCATCATAAATAGAAAGCAATGGGCCATTGAGACCAAGGCAAGTACGGCAAATCTTTTCAATATCCACTGCCATTAAGTTTTGAACGACACTTATGAAGTTTTTACAACTGGTGGAGCAAGGATTGATCAAATTTTTTAGATTTTTTTTTTTTTTTTTTTTTTTTTGTGGGTTTAAGTTACTCTCGTTCCCTTCTTATTTTTTAGAATTTATAATGAAAATATCGCAAAATGAAGCTTCCAAATCGAAAGCAAACACAAATGTCAAATTTACACATTCCATGATGCCAAATCGACAACATCCATATCAAAATAACACTGCAGCTACACGATCAAGAAAATTCAAGAAATTTTGCTTGTTTCGTTTCAGAAAGAAATATGTACGTTTTTCGCTGCAGTGGCAATATGGGATGTTATTAAAATATACGCATTCAAAGCGAAGCTAATGGTGTTCACACGAAACGAAGTGAAGCGGAGCTTTTCTCATGAACTTGGCTGCAGAGGTACCACAAAACTTACCGTCAATTAAAAGCAGCGGAAATATTTGCAGAATTATATTCAAAGCGTTTATATCTGAGATTTTTTTATATCTTGTTTGCAGCAGCATCATGAAGCTGAAAAACTAACCGGACGTTACACACTCAATTTTCCCCTTTAAATTTTCAATACATTCACAGGTTTTGACTAACACACTCATATGTATTACTTGAACGGGCAACTTGCTTTCAATTTTTCCCTTTCAATTGAGTTTCAATTTTGTGAAAATAAAAAAAAATAATCTTCCGCATGCTAAAATGTNTATTCAAAGCGTTTATATCTGAGATTTTTTTATATCTTGTTTGCAGCAGCGTCATGAAGCTGAAAAACTAACCGGGCGTTACACACTCAATTTTCCCCTTTAAATTTTCAATACAGTCACAGGTTTTGACTAGCACACTCATATGTATTACTTGAACGGGCAACTTGCTTTCAATTTTTCTCTTTCAATTGAGTTTCAATTTTGTGAAAATAAAAAAAAATAATCTTCCGCATGCTAAAATGTTAAACTATAATGGAACCAAAATTGGAAAATGGTCTTCAGAAGCTAGTTATTGAAGACAATGAAATTGCTTCTCATATTGAATGCAGCCTACGTAATGGCTTTCAATTTTGATTATTTTTGACAAGCGATTCGGTGAGTAAATTGAAAGGCAAAACTGATTAGGTTCATTCCTTATCTTTTTGGACTAAAATCTGAAGTGTCAAAATGCCAGAACGTAAGAAAATGCGCGCACTAAAAGAGAATAAAAGGAAAAGTAAAGGAACGCAAAAAACCAAATTTTTAGTCCAAAGAATGGCAACAACAAAACTAACTTCAAATAAGAATGGAAATGTATGTACAAAACACATTCACACAAGCACAAGTACAATAAACACTTACTATATCAATTATTTTTTTAGATTATTCTCACTTTTTGCGTATTCTTTAATTTCCGTTAATTTAAATTCAGTTGGGTTTGACACTTTTCAGGATTTTGCCAGAAAAAATTTCGTGAATGTTACACGCTTCCAGCCACTGTTTTCGCACGAACGGTAGCTTAGGAAACGTAAAAAACTTAACCCCAGATCCTTTACATGTATGTACCGAATTTTCACAGTTTGGGAACACACAGCTAATTTTTTCTTTTTATTTTTGCAAACTTACACAAAATTTATTTGATATATGTTCAATAATTTCAGTAAACTTCATTCATTTTCATAAATTTTTGTTTACTTTTACAAAAAAAAAAACAAATCCTCTGGTGATCAGGTAGCATGAATTTTATGAAAAGTCATAATTTTATTAAAAGTCAAATGGTTAACAACAACAACGAATGTCATTAAATGGAAATACCTTCTTTTTTTGTATCATGCGCTATGCCTGTATTTATGTGCCTTGAAAAAAAAATCATCCCTGCAAACCAAAGTTCTCGAAATCTTAAGGAAATCGTTAGGAGTATCTCATTTCTGTAACGATTTTTTTACGAATTTTCAAAGAAAATTATATGAAGTGGTTGACACGAACTCGTAAAGAAATTTCTGTACGAAAAATAAAAAAAATTCTGGAAAAATTCTGAAAGATATTCTTCACATAGCACCATTATTTTCGTTGCTTCACAGATTTTCTCTCGAAATTTCGTAAAAGAATGGAAGTGTGCGTAATTTATTTCATTTTAGAAAATTCGGCAAAAAATCGAATTAAATCTTAACGAATTCTTTAAAATTTCTTTACAATGCAGAATACTCTGAAAAAATGGTTTGCAGGGATGTTATTTTAAATTATTTACTTGTTTAATCATATATGTAATACTTCTTTATTGCTAGTACAATATGGTCCCAATGAATTTTCCATTCGGAATCAAAGAAAGACAGCCTATGAAAATTTTTGTGATTGGAGAAGTATACGTGTATATTTGTAAACTACTACATAGAATGAAGTGCCATATCATAACAGGGCCGGTTCAGGGAATTCAACAAACAAACACAAATTTGGCGGTCTCATGTTTCCTTCACGTTGACATGTATATCGAGCCCTAGCCGCGAAAATGGAGTAAGGCAACTTTTTTCAAATTTTAATTTTGATGCATAAATGCCTCTTAAAGCACCTGCATCAAAACGTAATTTAAAAAAAAAAATATATATATATACATTATTTTAGCGGTTAGGGCTCGGTATGACGAATTTCTCCGAAGCTCCTCGTTATTTGGAAATCTGAAAATTTAGAAGATACATCTTTTCCTAACAAAGAAAACTTATTTACACATAAAGAGGTGTGGTATTTTATACGTTGGCCGAATCCAATAAAGCACGTTATTCGATTCCCTTCTATGCTGATTGACGCCATTTGGAAATGCCGACTGATGCAAAGCCCTTCTCTAACTGCTATTTTTACCCTCTGCCACCAACAACGGCCGCAGCGCTTCTCATAGATTTACAAAAATTTTTATATGCAATTTGACAGTTTTTCACGTAAAACGGGAACATAATATGCGTAATATGCCGCTCCTCGGCTGTCAATGGCAAACCTCCGAAAGTATTTCTGTCATAACAAAGCTTCTCATAAAAACCATTAGCCGTTCGGAGTCGGGCGTAAAATTGTAGGTCCCTCCATTAGTGTTATAACATAAATGCGCACATCACAAATCGAATGAGAAGCTTGGCCAAACCCTTAGAAACAGTGTAAGCGCCAAAACATTGGTGGCTATCACAGAAGTAGTTCGAATTTTCGTGAAATCTACCAAAATGCGATGACTGAATCGGAATCGCTACGAACGAGTGTATACAAAGTCAACCCTAAGTTCGTAGCTATTTGTACAATTCACGAAAAAGCGTACTACGATGGATTCTATTATAGCCCTGATTATTATCGTATCATGGGTTTTATGCGGCAACGGTTCATTTGTGCCTTGGTGCGATTCTTTAGCAAAATCTTTTCCTTCAGTTGATGTATGATGCACTCCCGATTCTGGGCAAATCCTTTCTTACAGAAGCAACATTTGTACGGTTTTTCGGCAGTATGCGTGCGTTGATGAATTTCCAACGTAGTACTGCATGCAAAACGCTTCGAGCAAAAATCGCACGCAAACGGCAGTTCGCCAGTGTGCATGCGCTTGTGGTGTTTTACCAATGAACTGGATTTGGTAAATGTTGCGTAACATTCAACACAACGGTAAGGATGTTCGCCAGTGTGTATACGCTTATGGCGGCATAATTCGGCTTTAGTAACGAAACCCATCGAACATTCGCCACATTTGAAATTCCTCTCTTTTGAATGACGCATTATATGCTGCTTTAAATATGTTTTTTGACTGAAACCTTTGCTGCATATATCACATACGAAAGGCTTTTCGCCGCTGTGGACACGTAAATGATCCTTGAATGCAGATATTGTGGTGAAAACTAGGGAAATAGACTATGAATGTAAGCTTTATATCTTATGTCTACTTCTCTTACCTTTCTTGCAATGAGGACACTGATTGCGTAAATAACGCATATGCATAGCTACCATATGCTTACTGAGTTCGTCATTCGAGCCAAAAATCATGTCACATTTGGTGCATTTAGTTTCTTGCAAATGCATTGACTTGTGTTCTTTTAATGTTTCTTTAGATATGAAAACACGTTCGCATATGTTACAGCTGTGCGTAACTTTATTGCATAGATCTTGATTCAAATGATAGTTAAGTGATCTTTGTAATGCAAATCCTGCGCCACATGTGTCACAGGAGTGTAATAATTTAGCTCGTTTTGTTTCGTTAACAGTGGTAGTAGTGGTTATGTTTAAAGATGCGTTATCACTGTCGTCGCTATTTTCCGAATGCCCACTCAAACTTTCGCTCTGTGTTGAAAATAATAGCAACAATTTGACTAAATTTTTTTATACCATACAGTGCATTCGAAAACTTGTTTTAAGATATATACCTTCGTTGTTGTATTTGTTGTAGTGGACTCTTTTTCTTTGCTAACTGCAGTTCTGTCTTTTCGAGTAATGCCATGCCGCTTTAATTTATGTCGTGCTAAACATTTAACACTCACAAAAGTCATCGAACAATGACTACATTTCGACTCTTCTTTAATTATTGGTTTTTTATATACTTTCACCGTTGATCGTGAGCGTGTTGTCACCGCAGTCCACTTTGCTACGATTTCAGATTTACCACTATCATTTTCAGAAACCATGAAGCCATTATTGCCTTCTGGTTCCTCTCCATCTGCTGCATTGTACACCACATCTTCAACGCAAGACACATGCGGTGCGTAAACTTCCTCTTCCCCATATTCATCAGTTTCCTGTTTCAGTTGCTTTGGTTCCCCCGCGCTATTAATAAATTTGGTGAGTTTTTCTTCGCTTTCATTTCCTGATTGAAAGTTGGAAAACTGATAGTAGGTTGCCTTGTTTTCGTTTGTTCCGTTCGAGTCTTCGTGCATTGTTGAATACAATACAATTGCTTCAGAATTTTCAAATATCTTGGCATTTGCTTTATTGCAAATATTTTGTTTCCTATGATAGATAAGTGATCTTTGTAATGCAAATCTTGCGCCACATGTGTAACAGAAGGGTACTAATTTGGCTGGTTTTGTTTCGTTATCAATCGGTAGCAGAATGGTGGGGGAAGTTTTATTGTATGGAGCAGGGTTTGTTGTGGTTGTGTTTAAAGATGCGTTATCACTGTCGTCGCTATTTTCTGAATCCCCACTTAAACCTTTGCACTGTGTTGAAAATAATAGCGTCAATTTAACAAAATTTTTCAATATCATACAGTGCAATTGAATATTTGTTTTAAGATACCTTTGTTGTTGTAGTGGTTGTAGAGGACTGTTTTTCTTTTCTGACTGCAGTTCTGTCTTCTCGAATAATGCCATGCCGCTTTAATTTATGTTGTGCTAGCCATTTCGCTCTTACAAAAGTCATCGAGCAATGACTCCATTTCAACCCTTCTTTAATTATTGGTTTTTTATATATTTCCGCCGTTGATCCTGAACGTGTTGTCACCGCATTCTGCTTTGTTACGATTTCAGATTTACCACTATCATTTTCACAAACCAGGACGCCATTATTGCTTCCTGGTTCCTCTCCATCTGCTGCATTGTACACCACATCTTCAACGGAAGACACATGCGGTGCGTAAACTTTCTCTTCCCAATATTCATCAGTTTCTGGTTTCATTTGCTTTGGTTCCCCCGCGCTATTAATACTTTTTGTGAGTTTTTCCTCGCTTTCATTTCCTGATTTAAATATGGAAAACTGATTGTAGGTTGCCTCGTTTTCCTTTGTTCCGTTCGAGTCTTCATGCATTGTTGAATACAAGACAATTGCATCAGAATGTTCACCTATCTCGGCCGCATCTTTATAGATGTCCGTTTCCACCTCGAATCGTGTTCGTTTAACCGATCGCGCATGCCGGAGATCCTTTATAAACTGAATGCTACCTCTTTCTTCACCGTCGATTTCCAAAGCATTTTCTGACATAACTCTATTAAATCTGCTTGTGTCACAATGTTCCATTATTAATGGCGATGTTGACCTATCACACGTAACGTAGCACATTGGTGTCGTCTGCACATAGCGGTTAGTTTTTTCCACATCGAGTTTTGTTTGGTTGCATGTTGTAGCTAAACACATTTTGTCTTCCGGTATGGTTTGTACACCTTTATGAGCCTGTTCTACTTCGGCATTTGATACTATAACGTTGGCTTCGTCAAGAAGTGCATCAGGTACTAGCTGACGTAGTGTTTTAAAGGAATTCTCACATTTCAACTTGAAGGAATAGCAACGATTAATCTCGCTGATGCATGATAAGCAAACCTTTTCCGGCAGTTTGTCTTCACGTCTTGGCTATGCATAAATACTAAGCATTAGACAAAATAGGTAAAGATTTATTAGTAATAAACATTTATACCTTGCTTTTTGTAAAATCATGCAACATGTCGCCAATGCATCTGCCACTGCCATTTCCATCATAAATACCAAGCAAGGGGCCACTGAGGCCCAGGCAAGTACGACAAATCTTTTCAATTTCAATTGCCATTAAATGCACACACTTTTGGTAGGAACTTAGGAAGCTTTTATCACTGGTGGAACAAGAATTAATACAGTTCTGGACGATTTATCAGAAAAACAACGTAAAACCCGACCGCAATATCGACATAGATTAGTGATGTGCTGAATTGTCGGTACCAATTCTTAAAAGAGATTTCGGTTCTCAGTAATTCCTTTTCAGCACCCGATACCGATTCTTTAGATTAAAATATTTAATATCATACGTCAACAAAACCGATACCGGTTCGAAAATTGTTGCTAACTGGTTACAGAATCTGCCGCCAGGTCTACAAAAATATCGTCCGATTCAGCTGGAACAAAAATGCTTCAAACGAGTAAGAGTTTCTCTGCATTGTGGCCTCGAACCGACCTATATACATTTTTCGTTTGACTCAGTATTAAAAACTCTATTGGCTCCTACATTCGGGTTTTGATAGGCAAGTCCCCCTGAACGGGTTTTTCCATATTTTTGGCCTATGTGCGCTTTTATTCGCTACCTAAATGTTTCGGTACCGAGTATCGAGAGTTCTGGATTTTTTTCGGATCGGTACCGAATATTCGATCAATAATTAAAAGTATTGACTCAGCGCATCACTAACATAGATTTCTGAAAGTAATCTAGGAATGTAAGAAAAACATCGAGTTATCGAGCCACATCGATGGTCGTGGCCATGGCTCCGATTTTTATCGCATCACGACGTAGCGAATAAATGTGGCACGTTCCAGCCACTACTTGAGATTTGCCGATTTTGACAATTCTGAAGTAAAAGTAAACATCGTCTTGGAATCTTTAGATGCACTGAAATTTGCCAATATTTCCACAAAACCGTCGTTTTTTAACATTTTCGCTATTCATTCTTTTTATAAATCATATATTTTGTAATTTAACACAATAACAGTAATTTGTAATTTTAGGGGATTTTTTCAAAAAACATCTTTAAGAAACTATTTTTATTCATAAAAAACTGCATTTTTGGAGGTATTTTCAAATCGGTCCAGCACGCTTAAATCATAATATCTTTCCGAAATATTTTGGTGGACTTCTTAAAATATAATAGTTTTTTAATTCCAATGGAAAAACAGTACCGATTATTTTTTTTGTATGGAGAGTGATGCAGTCTAGTGTATATATGTACATACATTTTCTACGGTTAACAAACGCGCTTGCTTATCTGCATAAATCGTCTTTGCTTGCATTAATTCATGCATTATCCTCTTTCAAATGTGAATAAGCGGCTGAACAAATACATACAAATTTCGTGCATTTGAAAATTAGAGAGTTCTACCTTAAGCTAGGTAATACTTGTTTTACCGCCTAATCGATGGGACCATTTTACAAAGTCAGCGCACCATTGTTCACTCAAAGTTGTGTTCGGAACACTGTTTGACTTATGTGACTTGAAAATATTTTTCACTATAAGAAAATATTTAAATTTGATTTCATTTGGGTTAACAAAAACGACAACTGTGAAAAAATATCTACCAATACATTCAAACAAAATGTCAAATTAGCATATACATATATATTTTTATTTTTTCTAATTTCAATTTTTTATTTTTGTTTTGTATGTCACATGACACGCTTTGATTTAGAAGAAAAAAATCGGAACAGTTTTTGACACATTCGATACCAGAAGCAACAACAAAATGCACTCAAATGTTGTTTTTGCTCTAAAGCTATTACCTGTTTGATATGGCCTGGTTGCAACCTTCTTTGTTAGTAAATTTGTTTTCTTCTCGAAGCATTGATCCATTGGGCGAACGTTTCAAAAGCTAGTATTTAGTAGCTTGTTTTGCATGGGAAAAGTTTTCACATGCAAATAGATTTGAAGAATTTAGAGTTTTTGTGAGAAGAAATTAAAAATATTTGACATTTTCGAGACCAAATAATTTGAAAAAAAAAAAAATCAAATCAGCTGCTCTACTGATATTATCTGTTCAATGTGGCTTAGTAGGTACTTACAGCACTGGCTTTGATCCAGCACCCGGATTCCAGCATTCGCTATCGTTAATTTTGATCGCTAAAAATCTCTAAAATAAATCTAAATTTAGCCTAGCGATTGACAGAAATCCACTGCGGTACACCAAAATCTTGTTAATGAGAGCGATTTTTGGAGAGTTGTATAGAGAATAAAGTTTCAAGATTTTACCCGAACTTTTTCTTCTGGTAAAATTATGAAAAGTGCCAAGCGATCACTGGTTGACGTTTATACAGGAAAAATGCTTTTTTATTAGCGTAGTTTTTGTTGTTACCAACTTTTTACTCTCACTTCGGAGAGTAATTTTGCACTTTGACATTTTTACAGGATTTTACACGAAAAGTATTGGATCAGGGCTACTGTAAATAAGAAGAGATATTCGAATATTATCAGTGCAACGTCACAAATGAACGCGAATCACGATTTCTTTAAGAGAGTTTATAGATTGCTATGATATGCAACGTTGTCTCTGGGAGTATGTGATGCGTGATAGAAAAATAAAATCATATGAAGAATTGTTAAATATTACGAATAAATACAAAAAACAATGGAGTGTTGAAGATGTAAAAAAAATAATTACTATTCGTTCGTCCTATAGAAGAGAGCTTAAAACAATTAAGCAATCAGAATTTTCTGGTGCCGGTGTTAATAATGTTTATCAACCAACAATAATATTTTTATTCTCCATCTCTCCTTGATGAATTTCGCGGCTTGAATAATGGTTTGATCTCATACATGACTGGCAGTTGGACCGCTACAAGGCGTCGGTCAAAACTGATAAATTCTTGACTGACAAACTTGATCGACAATGTGTAGCACCCTTTTCAAAAGTACTTTAACAGCCCTATTCCAGGGTTGCCGGTTTTGGCTTTTCCTACCAAAACTGGTAGGTTTTTTCTCGTTGGTAGGATGGTTGGACGCTTAAAATTTTGGTAGGTTTCTTTCTCATAAAGCAGAAAACATTTTTGGTTTGTTGTAGTGTGTCACTTTGTCAGCACTTTGCAAAACACCTTAAAAAACTCGTTGCTTGCTGGCATAGGCAGAATTTCACCAATTATTTACCTTCGGCGACTCTCTGAACTCCGTATACGCTATAAAGAGTTGTAAAGGTAGGTTTATAAATCAGATATTTTTCTTTGAAATGCAGAATTCCAGTATATCGGAGGATCTCAAAGTTTTTACCCGCAATTCGAAGAAATTAATGGCAAACCCGCAGCGCGCAGATTTTTCCACGGCCCGGCGGCTCCTGGACCCGAACATGTACATATATATCTGTGTTCGTATGGAAAAGTAGCTTATGTCGAGAGGCTGGCTTTAGTATAATGCGGCATTCCCTTTATTCTTTAAACGACAAGGAATTTTTTTATGAGACTTAATAAGAATATTGACTTGCTAGTATCGGAACTATTTCTTGCACGTTTATTCGTCAAAAGTTGTTCAACGGCTTAGCGCCAGTGAGTCGTTCGCAATCGTATGCTGCGAATGCCGATTTATACTAAAGCCAGCCTTTCGACATAAGCTACTTTTCCATACGAAAACAGATATACTTCATAATAGATATGTGTATGCAAATGAGTGATGTATACAAATTCTACGTCGGAATTTTATTTTCTCCTACGATTTTTTACGTCCGACGGCTTTATTAAAACTATAGACTATGCGAATTTTTTGCCATTTTTCGCAATTTATTCGAAATTTGGAAGGCGTAGAAATGCAACGGACCTCAGATTCTGGTTCAGCGGGTCGCATTACGGGTCGGTACGTGGCTCTGGTTAAAAGTACACACCACACCAAAAAAATCTATTGAAGAAGGTAATTTCACTAAAAAACTTTTTGATTATAATGCAGATTTTTGACAATTGCTAAATTTAGAAAAATTCGAAGCGGCGTTACTCAATTTAAAATTTTTGGCAGAGGAGATTTTATACGATAAATTTGGAATTATAAATATGTGGTGGTGTTAATCGTTACCTTTTAAAAACNAGTACACACCACACCAAAAAAATCTATTGAAGAAGGTAATTTCACTAAAACACTTTTTGATTATAATGCAGATTTTTGACAATTGCTAAATTTAGAAAAATTCGAAGCGGCGTTACCCAATTTAAAATTTTTGGCAGAGGAGATTTTATACGATAAATTTGGAATTATAAATATGTGGTGGTATTAATCGTTACCTTTTAAAAATAATTAATATCTTATCTTAAAAATATTTAAATTTCACATTAATTCGATAACCACTCGCCAAAATCATTATCTTTAGATTGATAAAATTTTAGTGATACTGCAAAACATTCTATGTCACTTATTATCTCTGGTGCTTAATTGATCTGTTATCTGTATCTGATCGCTCCTGGTAATCGTTCATCTTCATCAGCCAAAGGTAGACAGTTTGGTCATTCGTTTATTAGGGTGTAACGATTTGTATTCTGGTGCAAGTAAGATAACATCTAAGTGTCAAGGGTACTAATAGACATAGACCGTTTTGCAGTATCACCGACGATATTTTAAATTTTTTTAGTAACCGTATGTCATCTGATTATTTCACAATATAGCTAGCCAGGACTATTGCGATGATACGATTGTTTCTGATATATTTCAGACACTGAAATTACATATTTCGATGTGTTGTTTAATACATATTGTCTTTGTCCATTTAACTGCATGTCTTTTAAGTAATTTGAAAGTGCAAATTACTTTTGGACCCGTGGGCCTCATGACTTTTANAGACATAGACCGTTTTGCAGTATCACCGACGATATTTTAAATTTTTTTAGTAACCGTATGTCATCTGATTATTTCACAATATAGCTAGCCAGGACTATTGCGATGATACGATTGTTTCTGATATATTTCAGACACTGAAATTACATATTTCGAAGTGTTGTTTAATACATATTGTCTTTGTCCATTTAACTGCATGTCTTTTAAGTAATTTGAAAGTGGAAATTACTTTTGGACCCGTGGGCCTCATGACTTTTGGAGAAGTCAATTATTTCGATTTCAAGTATATTTTGACTAAATCCTTGTTTCTTTTGGTAAATATATATATATTTTACTGTCCAATATTGCTGGTGCCGTGAAATAAAATTTATGATTTATTGTAAGTATGCAAACCTAGAACTACAATTATCAACTTATTGAGTAGATATTAGTCCTCTTCTCTTTCAA